CTACCTAATTTATATTAAATTAGTTAAACACATTACAAATCGGTAAACATTTAAAAAGACCCTCATTTTAGATTTATTGATCATAGCTCAATTAAAAAAATGTTGAAAGGTTGATCACAACACACGAATAACTAAATTATTTACATAACTGGCCCAGTACATCTTCAAAACTACTTGACATTATTTATTGTTTTGATTTTGTATTTATTTATAGTAGCTTTTGTATTGTTTTGCTATTAGCTGATAAAATTTAAAATAAACAACAATAGGAAATAAATTGACAGCAACTCTTCTCTAACACAATTAGGAGTATAGTGAAAAGACCCTTGTGATATTTAAACCACAAAATCTGTCAAATTTGTTTTCAATAAATGATAAAATAGGTACTTTGTAAGTACCTCTTTAGAATGCAAGAATATATTTTCCAAACAATATGCATCATTATTAATTTAAGGTACACAGCAATAATAAACAATTATACTATATAAGTACAATCACATATATCATTTAATATTCTTTATTTAATAGTCTTTCTGTGAGTGACATTTGTGAATTTATTTTATTATTATATTATGTTAACCCTTCCATAACTGTATTTAATTATTATTTGAGTGAAATTAAGTAATTCAAATGAATATTGATTATTTAAAACCTATTTGTAAATAGAATTACATTATTTAAAATTGTAAATAGTATGTTTCTTAACATATATATCTTTTTTCTGGTCATAATGCCTAGAAAAAGAAAACAATTTTCTCATGTTTATTGGGCAGGTATTATAAATGCAGTGATATAAGACTGGATGAAAATGATTAAAATGTATAGATATCATAACTAGTTCTAAAACTAATATTAGGTTTTAGTTTTGCTCACATAAGTACTATTTGATAATATAAAACTCTTCAGATTACTGTGAAGAAATAATTTTATTTCATTTTAATGTGTACCAAATAGAACTCAGTCAATAATAATTATTAAACTACAATACTGAAGATACAGGTTATTATTTTTTAACTAATTATATATATGACATACGAATATTAATTTTTATCTTACTTCATATTATTGTTACTTAATATTGTTTATTACTAAGTGTTTGTAAGTATTTTGCCAAATTATTATTTTTATTTTTATACTATTGTATAAAAGAAATTATGCTTGATTTTAAGTCTATATTTGTATACATATGTATATATTATGACAAAACAATAATTGTAAAAAAAAAAAAGGAAATAAAAAATAGTACAATGAAGTATCTAACTACAATTATAAAAGTTGATAATTTAATTAATTAATTTGTTATTGAATTTGAGTTTTATAAGTTTTATACATTTTTGTTTTGTGCAATTGTTCTGTGTAAATTTTGTAAACACTTTAAAATATTATAATAGGTTTATTTTTTAATTATTATTAAATAAACCAATGATAAATGTTTGTATTTTCATGCCAAACATTTCAGTGAAATTGGAATTTATTTACCTATTGTACTTACTTTTTATGTTATTTTAAGCTAACCATACAATACATAATAATAGAGTTATTTTGAATATTAAGAAATAAAAAGAATATCATAGTATTGTTATCTTAAGGCAAAATATTAATTTTATTCATAGAATAATTCATTATTTCGCAAAACCAATCTATCTTGATAGAATTGGATAACTGCTTGAGTGCAGCGTAAATGAGCCTCTGAAGCCGTGATGAGTTCGGGTTCATCAATATCTCTCCATTTTACCAAAAACATTCGTTGTCCAGATTCGTTAGTTGAAGATTCAATGATCCTTTCAGCTACCATATCAGTGTCACGTGTGTTATTAGTAGCGGAAAAATCTTCATGTTCCAACTGTTCTTCTTCACTATCGGTGTCTTGGAGATCTAAAAATTCGTCATTAACTGTTCCTTCAGAATAGTTAATGAAATCCTCATCATTTATTATTCTTGTTTGCAT